GGACCAAATGGGAGCATGTGACAATAGACAGACATATGGCAGTTCAGAACCCACAGACAAAATATTCCCAGCATGCAGTAGTAATTCCTCCCCTCTGCCCTGGAGATAATTGAGAAGTAATTCAATTATCTCCAGGACAGAGGCAAATCACCATTTTAAATTCAACACAGAAAAAACATAAAAATATATAACTTTACATTTGTCGAATGCTACCCATTCGTATCACATATCCCCAGATAGCCTGGATCTGAGTGCATATTATTGGCGAATAGCGCTAAGATCCCATACGCATAGTTCAATCGCCATGGAGTCAAAGTCTATTACAGTTCTTCGGTATGCGATTGACTCCATGGGAAGGCTATCTGGGGTAAGTCCATTCGTGCATTTAAATCGCCCGAACGGCCGGTGTTTGCCCACTTCTGTTGATTGAGAAGGGAGGTTGGCGGCTTCAGTGGTGTTCAGCTGAAAAAGTGTCCGTTTTCAGTTCCATGAAATCAATGCTGAACATCGCTGGTCTTTCGCATGGTTTAAAATGGCCGCCGCCTCGTGGTCGACATACGAACGACGACCACCCTGTATTCGGTTTTAATTGAGAAGTGTCTGTGGTTAACCGCAACGTTCTAATTGGGATCAATAGGTTAACAAGCAGCACACTTCTCTTCTGGGTGGCGGAAAAGTCAATTCACAGAACAGGGGCATACGAACGGGTAATTTTGTGAAAAAGGCAAAACAGACAAATCCAGCAATCTTAGTCTATACAGATGGATCTGTCACGCCTTTTCTGGTGGTTTCTCTACAACCACATTTAGTTAATTCAACTGCAGTATCATGCCATTTTTGGGCGACTTCTACTAAGTAATTATCTTCTAACCATCCTCTGTAATGTGCCATAAATTCCCTACATATATGTGGGTCCAGAGTGCCCTCTGAGGGCATGCCAGCTTTCTTAAGTTACCTCTTAATATTCTTAATTGCTCCTTGTCCTTTGTGATGCTTGACTATAGCAAATGTCGTAAATCACCCCTGAGTGCTTTGAGAGCTACCCATCTTAAAACTTGTAAGGGTTAATTACTTCCTTATACAAGACAAACTGTACAAAAACAGTGTATAAGAGACTGCAGTGGAATTTTCACAGTCTTGTCTTCGTTATTCTAAACACAGATCAGGAGATCTGCCCTAGGAGGATTCTAACTCGAATTATAAAACAAATGACAAGGCAAACAATCAAAATAACTTAAAACCCACAGATATATTCCACTATCTCAAGGTTCTTTTAACAAGACATAACATCCACCTGAATATAACCATAACACCACAGAAAATAAGTTCTTTAGATCAGGCGTTTTTAAAATCCTTACCCATCCGGACAGGGGCCTCAAAGAACACCAGAGAGTTACATAGTTACATAGTTACATAGCTGAAAAGAGACTTGCGTCCATCAAGTTCAGCCTACCTCACATTTGTTTTTTGCTGTTGATCCAAAAGAAGGCAAAAAAACCCAGTTTGAAGCACAATTTTGCAACAAACTAGGAAAAAAATTCCTTCTTGACCCCAGAATGGCAGTCAGATTTATCCTTGGATCAAGCAGTTATTACCCTACATTGGAAGATTATATCCTTGAATATTCTGTTCTTGCAAGTATGCATCTAGTAGCCGTTTGAACATCTGTATGGACTCTGATAAAACCACTTCCTCAGGCAGAGAATTCCACATCCTGATTGTTCTTACAGTAAAAAAACCTTTCCTTTGCCTTAGACGAAATCTTCTTTCTTCCAGTCTAAACTCATGGCCTCGTGTCCTATGTAAAGTCCGGTTTGTGAATAGATTTCCACACAATGGTTTGTATTGGCCCCGAATATATTTGTATAATGTTATCATATCCCCTCTCAGGTGACGTTTTTCTAAACTAAATAGGTTTAAATTTGTTAACCTTTCTTCATAGCTGATATGTTCCATTCCTTTTATTAATTTTGTAGCCCACCTCTGCACTTTTTCTAGTGCCATAATATCCTTCTTTAGAACAGGTGCCCAAAATTGCACAGCATATTCAATATGGGGTCTTACCAGTGATTTATAAAGAGGCAAAATTATATTCTTGTCCCGAGAATGAATGCCCTTTTTCATGCATGACAATACCTTACTGGCCTTGGCCACTGCTGATTGACATTGCACATTGTTGCATAGTTTGTTGTCTATAACAATTCCCAAGTCCTTTTCATGTGTTGTTATCCCTAATTCGCTTCCATTAAGGGTATACGTTGCTTGTGTATTCTTTACGCCAAGTGCATAACTTTGCATTTTTCAACATTACATTTCATCTGCCATTTGAGTGCCCAGTCCCCCAGTCTATCTAAGTCCCTCTGCAGCAAAGTAATATCTTGCTCACATTGTATTGTTTTACAAAGTTTGGTGTCATCTGCAAACACTGAAACATGGCTTTCAATGCGGTCTTCAAGATCATTTATAAACATGTTAAATAGAAGGGGTCCCAGAACAGACCCCTGAGGGACACCACTTGCCACCTCTGTCCAGCTTGAAAATTTACCATTGATGACAACTCTTTGTACTCTGTTTTTAAGCCAATGTTCTATCCAAGAACAAGCATTTTCATCTAGACCGATTTCCTTGAGTTTGAACACTAATCTATTGTGTGGAACTGTATCAAATGCCTTGGCAAAATCCAAATAGATCACATCCACGGCAACACCCTGATCTATATTTCTACTTACTTCTTCGTAGAACGCAATCAAGTTAGTTTGACATGACCTGTGCTTCATAAAACCATGCTGATTTTTGCTGATAACTATGTTCTTCTCAAGGAATTCTTGAATATTATCCCTTAATAACCTTTCAAATATTTTACCAGCCACAGAAGTTAAGCTCACAGGTCTATAATTTCCAGGCAAGGATTTTGAACCCTTTTTGAATATAGGAACCACATCTGCCTTCCTCCAATCCTCCTGAACACTTCCTGAAAGAAAAGAATCTTGAAAGATTAAAAACAGAGGTTCACTTATTTCTACACTTAGTTCCTTAAGTACACGTGGATGGATACCGTCAGGCCCTGGAGCTTTGTTTATATTAACTTTCTTTAGTTGCTGCAGCACCTTGTCTTGAGTAAACCAATTACAATTATTCTGAAAGTTTTTAGTAGCAATCATTTGCACATCTATTGCCATGGGTTCTTCCTTAATATATACTGAGGAGAAATAGTTATTTAAAATTCCTGCCTTTTCCTGGTCTTCATTAACTAACACCCCCGTTTCAGTTTTTAGTGTACCTACACTTTCATTTTTGGGTTTTTTAGAATTTATGTACTTAAAAAATGCTTTGGGGTTGGTTTTGCTCTCTTCAGCTATCATTATTTCATTTTGAAATTTAGCAAGTCTAATTGCCTTTTTGCACGCATTATTTGCATCCTTATATCTTTTATAAGATGCATCTGATTTGTCCGATTTAAATGCTTTAAATGCCCTTCTCTTAGTTGTAATCTCTTGTTTTACTTCTCTACTAAGCCACATTGGTTTTAATTTGTTTGTTTTATATTTATTTCCCAACGGTACATACTGAGAAATGTACCTTTGTAATATTTGTTGGAAGATGATCCATTTATCCTCAGTGTTCTTTTCACTAAAGAGTTTATGCCAGTCAATATATTGTAAAGCTTCCCTTAACTTATTGAAATTGGCCTTTTAAAAATTATATGTTTTAGTATTCCCCATGTGCTTTTGTTTTTTTGAGTTTATTTCAAAGGACACTATATTGTGATCACTATTTCCCAAGTGCTCACCTACTTGAATGTTGGTCAAAAGATCAACGTTGTTTGTTAAAACTAGGTCCAGACAAGCATCCATTCTAGTTGGTGCTTGTACAAGTTGTGACATGAAGGTGTCATTTAACAAGTTTAAAAACCTAATTCCCTTTGCTGAGGCACTAGTCCCTCTGTCCCAATTTATATCCGGTTAATTAAAATCTCCAATAATTAAAGTGTTACCTAGATTTGCAGCTTTCTCAATTTGCTCAAACAGCTGTTGTTCCTCGTCAATATTAACATTAGGTGGTTTATAACATATCCCAACCAATAGTTGGTTTCCCTTTTCCCCCAAGCAGATATTTACCCATAAAGCTTCCACATTATCCTCCTCGCATTCCATTTGCTTAACATTTGCTTAACATTTGGCTTTAAATCATGTTTGACATACAAACATACCCCACCACCCTTCTTGTTTTTCCTATCCTTCCTAAATAACATGTACCCAATTAAGTTAGCTGCCCAGTCATGTGTCTCATCCCACCATGTTTCAGTTATGCCTATTATATCATATTGTTTAGTGTATGCTAATGCCTCTAGTTCCCCATTTTGTTATTTAGGCTCCTTGCATTAGTAAGCATACATTTAATATTATGCATCACTTGTATATTTTGTGAATTTTCAACATTACACAGCTTCTCTGTTCTGAGCTTGCCCCTCCCCCCGTTTCCACCCCCTTATACTGTGCTAAAGCCCATCTCCTTTCTGTCCTATCTCCATTTTGTAGATTGCTATGACCCTCCCCCCTGTTACTAGTTTAAAATCTCCTCCAACCTTCTAGCCATCCTATCCCCCAGCACTGCAGACCCTCTCCCGTCTAGGTGCAATCCATCACTACTATAAAGGTTGTACCCAATCGCAAAGTCGGCCCAGTGCTCTAAAAACCCAAACCCCTCCTTCCTGCACCAAGACTTAAGCCACGCATTGACCTCTCTAATCTCCCGCTGCCTTTCCACTGTAGCGCGTGGCACAGGTAATATCTCAGAGAATACCACCTTGGAGGTCTTTTCTTAAGTTTGCTACCTAATTCCCTGAAATCATTCTTTAGGACCTTCCATCTTCCTCTTACTTTGTCATTGGTACCAACATGGACCATGACCGCTGGGTCAGCCCCAGCCCCTCCCAATAATCCATCCACTCTGTCAGCAACATGCCGGACCCGGGCACCCGGGAGACAGCAAACTGTCCGGTTGAGCCGATCAGAGCGGCAGATTGCCCTATCTGCTCTCCTAATGATAGAGTCCCCTACCACCACAACCTGTCTTGCCTTCCTTACATCTTGATCCCCACCCGTACTAGGGGGGCTGTTAGCTCGGCTGTTAGAAGTAACAGCTTCCTCTAATACAGCTACTCCTGAGCTGATGCTCCCAACATCTTCCCTCAAACGGGCAAATCTGCTAGGTTGCACCAAATCAGGACTAGCTAGCCCTTTCCTCTTCCCTCCCCCCCGCTTCCTCGCCCCACTGTCACCCAGCTACATGCCTGTTCCCCATCTGTCTTATCTCCTCCCTTTCCACTACCTGTCCCCACTAAACTCTGCTCAGTGAGCAGTAGACTCCTCTCAAGATTGTCAATCTCCCTCAATGTTGCGATTTGCTTCTCGAGATCTCCAATCTGAGCTTCCAGAGAAGCCACTCGCACACAACCATCACAGAGGTATGGACCCTGGACGGGTACATCCAGGCAGCCATACATGCAACAAGATGTGCATTGAGTTAAACCAGCAATCTTGCTAACACTCATTTCCCCTTTAAACAGTAAATAAAAACAATTACCTTGATAGTTTCAACCCCTTGTTAGAAGTAACTCCTGGTTTTCTAACTCCTACTTGAAAGAGTCTACTTAATAGAGGCTGCTTTCAAATAATGTGAGCAAGCTCAGTGAGTTAGGGGTGTGCCTTTATGGGGATACAAATCCCACACAGGTGCAAACAATGAACACTCCCCCAATCAATCAAGCAGCAGCACAAAAAAGGGGGGAAAACCAGAACACAAAAAAAAAAGTAAATTTAAAAAACAAAAATATATATATATTTTTTTTTAAACCTTACAAACTTTAAAGATTAAACAAAAATAAAATACAAACCACTCTCCACAGTATACAAACCACTCCAAGTAACTCCTGGTTTTCTAACTCCTACTTGAAAGAGTCTACTTAATAGAGGCTGCTTTCAAGTAATGTGAGCAAGCTCAGTGAGTTAGGGGTGTGCCTTTATGGGGAAACAATCCCACACAGGTGCAATTAATGAACACTCCCCCAATCAATCAAGCAGCAGCACAAAAAAAAGGGGGAAAACCAGAACACAGAAAAAAAAAAAAAGAAGAAAATTTAAAAAAAAATTTTTTATTTTTTTTATTTTTTAAACCTTACCAATTTTAAAGATTAAACAAAAATAAAATACAAACCACTCCAAGTAACTACTAGTTTTCTAACTCCTACTTGAAAGAGTCTACTTTCAAATAATGTGAGCAAGCTCAAAGAGTTAGGGGTGTGCCTTTATGGGTATACAAATCCCACACAGGTGCAATTAATGAACACTCCCCCAATCAATCAAGCAGCAGCACAAAAAAAGGGGGGGAAACCAGAACACAAAAAAAAAAGAAAATTTAAAAAACAAACACTTTTTTATTTTTTAAACCTTACCAATTTTAAAGATTAAACAAAAATAAAATACAAACCACTCTCCACAGTATAGAAACCTCTCCAAGTAACTCCAGTTTTCTAACTCCTACTTGAAAGAGTCTACTTCATAGAGGCTGCTTTCAAGTAATGTGAGCAAGCTCAGTGAGTTAAGGGTGTGCCTTTATGGGGATACAAATCCCACACAGGTGCAAATAATGAACACTCCCCCAATCCATCAAGCAGCAGCACAAAAAAAGGGGGGGAAACCAGAACACAGAAAAAAAAAAAAAAAATTTAAAAAACAAACACTTTTTTATTTTTTAAACCTTACCAATTTTAAAGATTAAACAAAAGTAAAATACAAACCACTCCAAGGAACTACTAGTTTTCTAATTCCTACTTGAAAGAGTCTACTTCATAGAGGCTGCTTTCAAATTATGTGAGCAAGCTCAGTGAGTTAGGGGTGTGCCTTTATGGGGATACAAATCCCACACAGGTGCAATTAATGAACACTCCCCCAATCAATCAAGCAGCTGCACAAAAAAAGGGGGGGAAACCAGAACACAGAAAAAAAAAAAAAATTTAAAAAACAAACACTTTTTTATTTTTTAAACCTTACCAATTTTAAAGATTAAACAAAAATAAAATACAAACCACTCTCCACAGTATAGAAACCACTCCAAGTAACTCCAGTTTTCTAACTCCTACTTGAAAGAGTCTACTTAATAGAGGCTGCTTTCAAATAATGTGAGCAAGCTCAGTGAGTTAGGGGTGTGCCTTTATGGGGATACAAATCCCACACAGGTGTAATTAATGAACACTCCCCCAATCAATCAAGCAGCAGCACAAAAAAAAGGGGGGAAAACCAGAACACAGAAAAAAAAAAAAAGAAGAAAATTTAAAAAAAAAATTTTTTATTTTTTTATTTTTTAAACCTTACCAATTTTAAAGATTAACCCCTTAAGACCGGAGGGCGTACTATTACGTCCTCTAATAGGCGGCTCTAAACGCCGCCGGGCGTAATAGTACGCCCTCCGGTCTTTCTGTACTTACCCGGTCGCCGGCGGTCCCACGCCGGCGATCGCGGTGGGGGGGACTCCCAGGGAGCCCCCCGCGGCACGACCGTCCTCCAGGAAGCCCCCCGGCCGTGTGAGAGTGGGGTCCTAGGGAGGACCCCACAATCACATGGCCGGGTATAGCTGGCTTCTGTATTGCCAGCAGGGGGGCTGCCTGTAATGACAGGTGGTCCCCCTGCTGGCTGAAAATAAAAATGAAATAAATAAATAGTGTAAAAAAATAAATAATATATACTTAGATCATATATATATATTATATATATATGATCAAAGTATATATATACACATATACATACACACATGTACACCGTCTAGGTGTATTTTACTATTTATATATATATAATTATATATATATATTAATATCAAATTACACGTACACTGATACTGATTAAATATATATATAATTATTGTTATATATATATTTATATATATTATAAAAAAAATTAAAATGTAAATACGTTAAAAAATAAAATTA